ATCCTGGTGGATCCTAGGGATCCTATGAGATCCTGGAGGATCCTGAACCAGATTCGTTAAATCGCAATAAAACATAAAATTCATGAACTTCAACAAAAATTTAGTAGAGTTTAAGAAAACTCAAGGGGGAAAAAGCGGATCCTCACGGATCCTAAAAGATCCTAGGATCCATGAGGATCTTTAAGGATCTGAGGATCTTTAAGGATCTGAGGATCCTTCAGGGTCCGGGAGGATCTATCAGGATCTGGTAGGATCCGGGAGGATCTGGTAGGATCCGGGAGGATCTGGTAGGATCCACAATATTGTTGATTCCGTCGCGCTATAATAGTGTATTATTAGATCGTCAATTTGTCTGAGAAAACAACGACATACAACGTATATGACCATACGTGATTAGAGCGTTAATCGCTTATTACTTCTAGTGGTATCGTTTGTAATTTATACCTATTTTCTCTCATCTAGATATTAAACTTGAGCCTTATTCATGACCAAAACACAGGGGAAAGGAATATAGAATTATTTGCTTATGTTAATCGTCTTACAATTGCTTACAAACTGTAACACTTCTGCCAAAGGACTGTAAGTTTTCTTGTGATATCAATGGCACCAACGACAAAGAGTATCCTCATTTAACTTTTCTGTTAATACAGCGTCTTTGTACTGATTAGTTTTGCTTGTTGTTAGAGAAACTTCAATATTATTCTGGATAGTTACCTGCGTTTCTTAATGAATATACTTAAGAATGTATACTGGGCTTCACTCTAAAGTTTTTATTCAAATAAGTTGCCTATAAAGCTACAGATTACAATACAAAGAAACATCAGTTTTGAATTTTTGTTTGCTGAACTCGTATTTGCCTGTCCGAAGACAAAGAATTCTTATTAATAGACAGCATTCTCGCAGCTGTTTGTTTATGGATATATTTTGGTTTATCATTAATAAAAATCTTGAAATAATGATTCGCTTTTGCTGGATTAATAACATCGTAAATTTTCATACCGTGGAACGTTTGTTTTGATACAGTCAAGTGATATAAGCCTTGGTTGTCATTTTCGGAAGAATCCTCATCTGATTCGCGCTCATTCTCAGAACAATCAGTGAGAATATCATTATTATTACTATCATCATCATCTGAGTCTTCGTCTTCGTCGTCAATACTGCTCACAGCAGAATAATCAATTGTAGAATACTTTGTTAATTGAGTAAAAACGAACGAACTCAATGTATTCAATTCATTTAACTTATGCTTTTTCATTGTTTCTGTTAACTTCAAATCTTTCATAATCAATTCAGCATCATGGTATGCTGTGACAACAATTTTTTCGATATCATCTAATGTTAACGGTAATGCGTCTTGACTATTTATAGATCGAGTTGCTTCGTTTCGCCGATGCTTATGATGGACCGGAAATTTCAGCGAGTAAGTAGTATCATTCGATTCTTCTGACGATTTAATATGATTTAAGATTGAGATTTTTTCAATCTTATTCATGAATTCATGCACTGAGAAATTAGTGATTGATGAGAATACGCCAGTCAACGATCGCGCAGTGCGAAAAGTAGCTTCGCATGCTTGGCTACTAAAGAGATATGTATTCAGTGAATAAGGT